GGCCTAATATCAGAAAACTATCGCCTGCCCCCCCCCCCCCGTTTTTCAAATTTTCGGGCTGCGCCCGGCCCCTATTTTCGAATCCTGGATCCGCCGCTGTAGTGCGCACCCTTTCCTTACTTATTCCAAGTGCCATTTTAATATCAATTGTCACAGTTGCTACGTGCACCTTATACTTTGACAAAGTGGCCTTTGTACCTTTTATGCATTTCCCTTGTAAGCATGCCCTTTGAATCTGTGATGGGTGTCCCATCTGTAAGTTACACTTTTTTTTCTTTCCCTTTTTTTTTAAAAATTAGAATACTTTAGTCTCAGAAGGCCTCATTCTCTGAAATTTCAGATAATTTTCTCATTGCCCATGTAACTGGCCTGCATGGAGTGGTTATCTTTATTCTCATGTGCTTTCGATGTAGAAACTGTGAAGCCAGTCAGTGTGGTGTAAGGAAATACTTGTGATTAACTGATCATCCATAAAAATTAAAAAAAGAAACCATGAGCCTGCATGCATGTAACGCAGCAAAAAAGAAAAAAAAAAGAAAAAAAAAAGGGGGGATATGGGACAGCGTAACAAGGGTTGCGTTAGTGGGGGGGGGGGGGCAGGGGGGGGGAATTTAAATTTTATTTCAAAGGGTCCCAAATGAGAGGTGGTTTTATAAGGGGGAAGGTACCTAAGAGGGACATGTGAAAGGGGAGATGTGAAGGAATTTGTGAAGGAATCATATACACAGTCTACTCCCGTTATAACGAGCACATATACGAGATTCCCTTTTAAAGACGCGCGCGGGTAATTCCGTACGAGGTTATAAACCTTATTATTAAGTAATATTTCAAAAAAAATAATATTGGTTTTCATTCCAACAATAAATACAAAAGTATCAAGATAAAGCTAAAATTTATTTTTACCATGTTTATTCGACACAAGTAATAAAAATATACGCGATTATATAAGCAGAAACGTTCGGCCAATGTCGGATAAGAACGGCGGCTTTCGAACGTATCTGCGAACGAGTCGATCCAGTAGATTCGTTCCGCGGAACAAATCGGCGCGCCGATTTGTTCAGCGGAACCCGGAACAAATCGCCTACCACACCGGCCGGCGTATTGGAGATGATCATACTATCATTTCATGGTGTGCAATCTAGGGTCGGAATCCAGCATAATATATTCATAAAAAAGAGGATCACATAAAGCACTCATGATAAAGCCGCGCCCGGCCCCTACAACATCATTTTGGATTTTTAGATGATGGGGCGGGTGGCAGGGGCAGGGGGCAAAGTCCCCCCCCCCCCACTTATTCAAGTGCACCCAAATGGCCACTTTTACTTTGTAAGAAGTGCCCCTTCCCCTATTTAGAGCTACCCCTTTTTAACTCGGATAAGCGCACATTTTATCAACACATGTGCCCCCCTTTCCTATCTGATAAGGGCTATTTAGACAAATGAGGCCCTTCATAAATAAGAAGTGTCCCTTTTCATTCTCATAAGTACCCCTTTTCATCTCTGGTAAATTACCTTTTTCATATACGAAAAGTTAATTCTTTTCACTTAAGTGCGCTCTTCACCTCCGATAATTGCCCCTATTCAAATCTGAGAGATGCTCGTTTTACTTTGAAAAGTACCCCTTCCCCTCCTGATAAGTACTCTTTTTTTCTATGATGGGTGCCCATTTTCACCTCTGCTAACTGCCCTTTTATTGTGAATCGTGCCCCTTTTCCTTTCTAATAAGGGACCTATCCCCTTTTCATAAATGCCCCTATTCACCTCTGATAAATCAATTCCTGATGGATGCCCCTTTTCCGTCGACAAATGCCCATTTTCCATTCTGGTGAGTGCCTCCTAAACCTAAACCTAAACCCCCCCCCCTTTGGGTTTTTTTTTTTTTTTTTAATTAAAAAAAAAAAAAAAAAAAAAAAAAAAAAATTATACCCACGGCTAACCTAAATAAGGTGACCTTACCCCCCCCCCCCCCCCCAACGACAAAAAATGTCAAATTATGGAATTTCGAGACCAAAAAAAAAAAAAAAATGTGTCCGCTTACCCCCCCCCCCCCCCCCCCCCCCCCTTGCGATTTTTTTTGACCTCCAAAAAAAAAAAAGTGTCCGCTTACCCCCCCCCCCCCCCCCCCCCCCCCCCCCCCACTGAGCGACTTTTTGGCCGGCGCGATTTTCAAATTTTCGGGAGCAAAATATTTTTAAACCCCCCCCCCTTGAAAAAATCCTGCGTACGCCCCTGCTCCTTTCAGATGTCCTTTGATAATTACTCTTTGTACCTTGACACATGCTCCTTTTCTTTTCTTATATGTGTCTTTATCCCTTTCGATAAGTGTTCCCTTTACCTCTCATCATTAGTCTTGTACCTAATTTAAAGCGACTAAGAGTAATTTCCCCTAAAGCTCACTCTCTTGTATTTATAGATGATACAATTACATGTCACTTAACAAAGGTCTTTTCAGTCTTCCGTTATGAGAATGTGCTTATAACCTCATCATGATTTGGTTTTTTCCTCTTTATAAGATGTAATTTTTCACTCTGCGAACTCACAGATCTTGATTTTTTTTTCTCGCTCGCTTTGCTCGCTCGCAAATTAATATTCAAACAATCACACGTAACCGAAAGTGTGATGCTTAAGCAATATCTTGTATAATATAATTATAAAGAAAAACAAATGTGGAAATCGTCCCTGATAATGGAATCACAATTAAGGAGTATATACCAATGTCTAAAAAAATGTATATTTTCGCTTTGAGATTTCGCTTTGTAGGTGCTCTTTTTTTGTTGGTGCTTTCCACTTTGGAAATAGCTCCGCCGCCCCTGCTTACCCATTAGCGCCAGGACAAGCCAGCGTTAATTTCGCAAAGCAAAGGGGGTGTCTGTGGGGGGGGGGGGGTTCTCTCTATCTCTGAAGCTGAATATTTTAAACTGGATTCGTGCGATTCGGTTATACTTTTAGAGGGAATCTGAGGGGGATGTGCCCCCCTCTGAAGCTGACATTTTTTGGATTTTTGAAACTGGATTCGTGCGTTTTGGTTAATAATTTGTTGGGGAGTCTGATTTCATTTCAAAACACCTGCAGTTAATGTGGGATGGGGTTGCAGCCTCTCTTTCCCCGAAAATTTAAAAATGACCAATATGCATTTTTTGTTTATCTTATCTCGTATATCTTGGTGACAAATAACACTTTCACAACATACATAATTATGCTCAAATTTCCGCTCGCCAAATTATGAAACCAGGAAATAGATATTGGGGCAAGAGGCTTCAGCTCCCACTGATGGAAATGTCAAAAAAATTGCGCGCGAGCATAACTTAAAAACGGGGAAGATTGATATCGGACAAGAGACGTGACGTGAGCATGTCCCCTTTCAAAAAGTGTGCCCGCTTGTAGGTACTAGTACAGTGATTCTAATATGATCTTGTCAGTATTGGTCAGTTGAAATAACGGTCTGCGCGATTTTCGAATTTCCGGCCCCCCCCCCCCCCTATTGGAAAATCCTGAATCCGCGCCTGTTTTATGACATTGGTTTGCCAATACTTTATTGTGCAGACATGATATGAAAATATGATGTGTAACCCACGATCTATTATGAAATGCTATATACACGTAGTAAATCGAGAGACCCATTATGTTACAATACCATGATTGTGACAATATGAATTATTGGTAGATAACATTTACATCTTCTGAGAACTTTATATTTGATGAATAAAGATTGAATTGAATTGAATTGATTTATTGTCCACTAAAAAATGGAAATTCGTTGCTCACTGGTATTACAAACTATGTACACAATTATACAAATTATATAAAACATAATAACAATATAACATCAATGGCGTTATATCCAACAATTCATAGATCTTCAAAATGAAGACTAAATAGTTGTAGTTTT